AGGAGCTGCCGGTCGTGCACACGGGCGCGTACAAAGGTGTGCCCCTTGTACAAGTCGCAGCAGAAGAGCCTCAGAACGAGACCGTTACGGAAAGCGCCTTAGGAGTTCGTCGGCCTACCGCACGGCTCCCGCAGTACCTGTCGTTATCAGGCGGTTAGGCATGCGGGACTGCTGATGCTTGTTTCCTTTGACCGAGTTGGGACAAGTGTTGAAGTTGGAAAGCCTTCGGCGGCACAGTTGCAGCAGGCTGTTGGGTCGTTCTGTAAAAAATTGCTCAACTGCGGATGTGTTGGGCGATTGTGGTTCCTGCCACAGCACACGTTGACACCGCAAGGCCTCGCAGCTTTCGAAAACTTTCTCAGACAACCAAGGATCCCCGCTGGTGTCGTTTCGTGATGCAGCAGCCGAAGGACTCTTCACAGTTGTGCAAGGCATTCAGGAGGCTTGTTGGAGCAAGTTCATTAATGAAGCGATGTCAGCACCATGAACCTCATGGTCCAACCAATCGCACACCATGTGCTGCAACAAGCTGAACTCTTGTTTCGAGCTTTCAGAGCATGCCATCGGAACTCCAGTCGAAGGGCGCTGTAGCAAAGCATGGTAAAGCCCATGGAATATTGGAAATGTGCCGAGCAAGACTTTCAAGGGCGCTTCTCGGATTGCTCTTTCCCCGGAACGGGTTCCAAGCTTCCAGCCGCCTGAAACCTCTATCGGCAGGCCCGGTCACAAGGATTCGCACACAGTGCAGAGTCCCGGCGGCAGTGAGATTTCACAAACAAAAAAAGATCCGAGCGTTCAATAGGATTCAATCGTTAAGTGGGCTTCCTATGTTTTTTTCTCGAAAGCCCTCTATATAAGTACATGCAATCATGACGACAAACTCAAACGAATTCTTCCTTCTCTGGAATTGGTGCCTGATGGGTCCCGCTGATGCTCGGGTCAACTTCGTAGCTTTGCAGCGTCTGCTTGCTTGAACCATGGAGGCTTCGTTCTTGCACTCCGAGGCCCCACATAAAACGCCGAATCAGCAAGATCGCAGTATGTGTGGTGATGCCAATTATTATATTAATGAGCAACAAAAGAAACATGTAGGACTGGGAAATGAAGCAATCAATGCCTGCCATGCCATGAGTGGCTGCTGCACTCCTGGCCCTTTGTCCGTGAGCATATCCCAATCAGCTTCTGTCAACGGTTCTCAATGATTCAAGTTCAGGCGTGGCTTCGAAAGAACGTCCCGCAGCTTCTCGATGTGCGAGAGGTGGCCGGGCTCTGCAGCGTCCGCAGACAAGTCAGGGTTCAGGTCTGCAGAGAAGCCAGGGCCCCAAGCTGAAGCAGGTGACAGACCTGAAATGCTGTCAAGACTAAGCCTCAAGTCTCCGAACTCCTTAGGGGCAGTATTCATGTGGAGTATCAAGAGTCTTGAACTGCTTGGTGTGTTCCAGTGTACAAACATGCACGTGAGATGCAGGGGCCGAACTCTTCTGAAGCCCTTTTGTTTTAGGGGCAGAGGGGTTTGAGCTTGAGTGGAACGTCGCAGGCAGCTGAGCTGCGCAAGCATGAGGCATGAGGGTTGAGTTGAGGGAATACGCGAGGCTCCAGCAGGCCGACGGCCTAGAAATTCGAGCGGGATCATTGGGAAGTTCATGACTCGTTCCATCAGTTCAATATCCGTGACGCAGCTTGCCCCAAAGTTGCCGCTGCCTCGTAGCCTCGAAAAAGAGAGAGTGAGAGAGAGAGAGAGAGAGACGCCCTCAGCAGAAAGAAAACGGTCCACCAGAAGAAGAAATAACAGATAAACTGAGTTATTTCCGAGGGCGTTTTTGGTGGACTGATGCTGTTCTCGAAGGATAATTCACTGACAGTTCGGGGAGTAATGGAGTGCATTTGCTCACTCTGGCGCTGCCCTGCTCCCCATTGTTAACATTGGCTGTGAAAAGCTACGGGCCAGATTTGTTCCAACGGCCGAAATCTTACACCGCGCAAGTAGTCCTAGCTACCAATGTTGAATAGTGGGTGCGGACTTGATGCCTCAATCGTCAGGTGGTGCAAGATTTGGTCCATCTACCGTTTGCATTGTTTGCGCTCCTGCGAACGTCATGTCGACAGTGCGCACCCACCCTTTTCTAGGGTGCCTGGACTCGGGACGGACAACACAGCAGTTCACTTCATCTACAGTCAACGCTACGGTCAACACTGCCGAAAATGTTGGAAATCCAGCATTTCCTGTTTTAGACATCATGAAGCGAAACAAACTGCAATTCCTTTGAAAGGAGCAACTGCATGCAAATATGAAACTAATATGCCAGCCAACACCAACACCACAGTCAACACTGCCAAATTGCTGGAAAATTCAGCGATTTGCTGTTTCTTGACATTAAGAAGCTAAAAAAACTTGTGTAGCTTTCCTTTCCTGAATTGTGGAGCCGTTCTTATCCTGGTTTTGATAGTGTTGGCTGCAGTGTTGACTGTTATTTTGCACATATTTGCCTCAACTTGGGGGTGCAAAACTGCATCCCAGCAAAAGTATACTCGATGAAGCCACACGATTCAGAAGTTATGGCTAATAATTCGCGGTCGTAGAACTCACCCGACAACACTCGCGGACTGGGACGAACTCCCTTCAATCCCTAGTTGGTTGAACCGACCAAACTGATCTTGACTGCCATTCGTCCCGGGACGAGGAGACTGAGTCAGTATGTTTGAGCAATTTGGGGCTAAGAGAGACACCAACCGGAACGAGTGAGGAGGAACCCATCAAGCGAAAGCTGGCCTACTCAGGACGATGATGGCGCCATCAACGAAATCCGTCAAAAGTTCTTCAAGCGCCACGGTAAGTTGTTCGTCGTCCGCTTCGGGAAGCATCGGATGAAAACCTTCCAGAGAACCGTCGAGGACAGGAGGGATAAATGCGCTGTTGTGTGTATGCAAAAAGCAGTTTGCTGGGCACGTCGCAGCATGCACCAGTTGATGATTTCAATGCCGACTTACCTGGGCAAAGCTCGATAGGAGCAAAGGCTTGTTTAACCTTCCACATGGTCCTTCAACATTTTGACGGCTCTACCACATAGTTAGTAGTGTGGATGATGGGTACATGCCCATCCAGATTTCCAGCCAGACCCTGCTAATGTCCGGAGGTCTGCATAGCCAAGCTTGAAAGCTTGCACTTGCGCTTTCTTGGGTCTCTGCAGAGGTTGCTTGTGTGGCTTCAAGGATGGGCTGAAAACCCACCGCACGCCTCCTTTGCGATACTTTTGTTTGCAGCCTATGGATTTGTCCCGTAGGAGGCGCCGCGATACGTGCAATGGGTGGAGAAGCTCGTTGCAGCTGGAGGCCTGCTTGATTGATCCGACAAAAATGACGTCCGCACTCAGCACCGCTACCAAATTATACGTTAGTTCCGTGAGCAGGAGCCCGGACGTTTCCTCCTGAGTAAGCGAAGGACCGCGGACGGCTTTGTCTGTGAACTTTGAGCTCCTCGCCGCTTTCGCGCGGCAGCAGCGCTCCGAGGAACACATCACCGTGACTCGGATCTTGTATTTTGAGGCTGAGGTTGCATGACATCGACACAGAAAAATATCAGGTTGCCAGATATAAGCACATACTTGGTGGATTCTGGAGATCCACATGTCATCCTACGCCCCCCAACACGAAACGGGCAAAAGCCACGCATGCAGAGTCACAAGCCAAGATGTTTTCACGGCAATGCAATCTTGGACAACTCAAATGTTTTGCTTTCGAGATGCATGCCAGCAAATTTGTGCAGTTCGTGCGCGACGGTTCGTGCAGTTTGCGAGTTGATGGGCGGCCATCACGACATCTTCAGTCTCATGCATGTAGCAGTGAAGCCCGCACACAAATCTCCGAGGAAAAAACTGCGCCCACGCATCTGGAAGAGCTTCGCGCATCGGCTTTTCATGTGCTTCTTGTTCTGGACAGGTTCGAAAGGTGCAGTAGTGCGCGGCGGCCGGGCTTCGGGTGCGGAAGCTTCATACTCTTATATGAGCATCCGCCAAATCTTCCGTACCTGTATAGTTAAGAGTACCATGGTCGTGGAATGTCATGTTTGGCCAGAAGCCTCGAAAAGCGATAGGACCCCCCCAAAGCGATACGATGAACGAAGATCATCTGTTGTGTCATGTCATTGCTGCTGCTGCATTTGTGCCTAAATTTTCATTGTGATGTGTGGCTAAGCAATCGATACTCAATCGGTACCCTAACCGATGCCCACCAGATTGTTTCATGAGCCACTGCCCAGCCTGATGGAATCATCATTGTTACTGTTGATCTCACTACTACAGTAGTGAGATCACTACCATTACTATGACCAATATAATTGTTGCTGTTTTTGCGTTTCTACTCGAACTACTACGATGATGAATCTGACCAGATTAAAGCGATACCCCACAGAAAAAGTTGACCAGATCCCTGTAAATAAGCGATAGGACCCCCAAATCATCCATGACCAGGCCTACAACAATAACTTTCGACAAACGCTCATATAGGGGTCGCAATAAACAGCGATAGCATTTCCAGATAGACCTTATAACTATATGAACATAGAATACGCATCACGTTCAACCCTATCCTGATTATTATCGAAGGCCCCGACTGTATATTACTTGTACCTGTGAACTCGAGAGGCCAGCCTCTGCCAGATGCCCTGCCAGATGCATTTGCTCACAAAGCCGCTGAGCGCATAGCAGCATGAGATGGTTTGTCATGGGTGGGAGGAGGATATTCGTCGTTGTTGTTTATCTCCAAAGCTCCTGCAAAGAAAGCATCACCCACGAGGTTTTACTCGCACCAAAGTCAAGTGCTGAAGAATACCCAGCACGCTGGGGCATTGAACTGGGCTTCTATGAATCGCCAGTTCACCGCAGCGAACAAAGGCATCACGTGGATGTGCATACACAAGCATTCCGCAACTTGCTTTCTCGCTTAGACCCTTGGTCGGCATCTGGGAACAGATGTACTTACTACATGCATACATGCATACATACATACATACATAAATACATCATTACATACACTACATACATTATTACATACGTTGCATACATACGTTAACACATACCTACCTGTACCTACCTACCTACCTACCTACCTACCTACATACATACATACATACATGCATAAACACAGACAGACAGACAGACAGACAGGCAGGCAGGCAGACAGACAGACAGACAGATAGACTTACTTACTTACTTACCTACTTACTTACCTACTTGCCAATCTACCTCTGTATATGTATATATATATATACACACTTATGTATTTATTTACGTTGTCAGCCGTGAATGCCTGTGTTCCTCAGCACCAGTTGTTCAGATAGGTAGAGGCTTGGAAGGGACGCTGCGGGGGTGCAGCCTACGGGGGAAGCGAAGAAATGAGCTTGCAATCAGACTTGAGAAGCCCATGCTTGAACTCATGTAGGGGTTACAGAGGGGTCGCTCCTGACATTCTCAGAAAGTTTAGTCATGACGATCCAAACAATCGTCGATCTCCTCCCTTGAAACTAATCAAACGTAGAGTGCACGAGCCCTCCTCGCACCTGGCCCCCCTGTATAGCTGCAACTAGTCAAGTTAAGCACGTCGTGGAACGTGTATATTGCGTTGGCCGGTCGTGTTTTGGCCCAGAGTCGAGCATATCCGGGCGCCGGGCACTGCGGCGCTGACTGAAGGCTCTTCAGAACAACTTGTGCCTTGTTTAGACATGTCTAGCATGTCTCCAAGCCCCAAGCAACCATACCCGACAGTTTTGGTCCCTTCCGATTTCGGGGCGGGCACAAGAGGACTGTTTATTGCATGTGCAATTGCTCATCAATGCCAGCTTGGCGGAAGTTGGACTTCGTTGTTAGAGACGACCTTGACCTGGATACTTCTCTACATGAGTCCTGATGTTAGCGACCTTATGACCGCGGCCGCTTCACATCCTGGAATGCTAACCTGCCCAGAGGCTCTGAAGCATATCCTACATCCCGGCTGCACATAAGGCATGGCTGGTGTCAGGTATGCTTTCTTGCGAATGTTGGTGCATGTATAAACATGGATCGGGTCTTGTTGTTGCATCATTTATGTAACAAAATCTGACTTCGCAGCGGTCCAAAGCATGCCGGGAGGACATGGCATCGCCTTCCGCGGTGTTCCTTAAAAAGCTGGAGCCGTCGCTGCAGAGTGCTGGGCTTATGGATGTTTGTAGGGTTGATTGAGGGTCTGAGTGTTCTGAGGCTTTATACGGCAGGCAGTATTTGGACGGAGTTTCGGCTCATCAATGTTGTTGTAGAGCTGAGGGTATTTTGCGCATGTTCGTTTTGTTCTTATGATTCTATTCCAGTCACATGGTTATGCCTCAGGGTTTGCATGTGAGGTATAAGTTGAGGAGTCCAATTCTGCGATGCCTTCCCGAAAGCAAGAATGCCAAGTCGGCGTAGTGGTTCGTTGAGTACCATATGTCCAGTAGATGCTGCTGGTATTCGTCTAGTTGTCACGCAGGAATTGTACTCCACATCCTCCATGTAAGTCTATCCGCGAAATCTGTATTTGCAATGGCCACCCAACAGCTCCACCTCATCATCAACAATGGGTCAAGCTGCAAAAGGTTTCAAAAGGGGCTTGAATCGTTAGTGCAACAAGTTACGCCCCTCTATTTGGCAAGTCGGCGGCCGAAGCGTTGTTCGCGGGCAGCTCCCACCAGGAGACCTTTCTGAAGCGGATCCGGAAGTGGGACACCGAGTGCCATGGCACAAGAAAGAGCTGTTCGGAGCAGTGAGAAATTGGTCACCCGGGTTAACTATGAGTCCCCACCACGGCCTGGCATGCACGTAGCCGAGCGAAACACACTTCAGAAGCGCATGGAGCAGGTGACGCCACAGTGTTTAAACATGAAGAGCTGCGCCATCCGTCAGAGTCCAGAGGCACATCATAGATTCATAGATTTCTCACTGAAGGTTCCTGTGCATCGGAAAGAATGCCGCCGAGGCATTTTGCTTTACTGTCTTCATGTTTTGGAAGGCGTTCAATCATTTCGCCATCGGCAGAGTTAGATCGAGGAGATGGGTGGTAAGGGGCACTGGCTGTCCCTCTAGTCTGGTGAAGACATCTTAGCAGCAGTAGGTGTGCACAGGAAATACTTTTCTGGACATTTTGCGGTTCAGGGCTTCTTGACCAACATAGTGGTATGCGAGAGTCGATGTGTCAACCTAGTACTCATCAACCGGAATCCACAGCAGATAGTTCTCCCGTATTTAAGAGTGCCATCGTTGTTGGCCGTTGCTTCTCGCATGACCCTCCCGGTGCCGTGACGCTTGTGGTTAATGATCCACAGTACGTTGTCAGCGATGCGAGTGCGAGCTTGTGGCCGCGGGAGGGTCGTCGCGCTACACTTTCTCAAGGGCCATAATTGTTGGCTCAAACGTTCTCGTGTCTGGAGTGCATAGATGGAGAAGCCAGCGGGAGGCAAACGAAGGCCTCGCCAGGTTTTGAGAATATCCGCGGCTTAGGTACGATGCCCCAAGTCACTTCATTGCTGGAAGGTCTTCAACGTGCCGAAGCCAGAGGAGGTTGTGCCGCGAATTACGGCCAACCTTGACTACTTCAGTGGCTGGACAACATCTCATAGCCGGAGAGCTTATATGTTGATGTTTGTTGTTGTTGTTGTTGTCGTCGTTGTTGTTGTTGCTTCGTAGTTGTGCGCTCTGCGCGGACGATGGAGGTGTGCCAAGCTAGCCGTGCTGCTGCTGCACTGCGACATGTATCTGCGTAGAGGTTTGCGCAGGACCAAGGGTCATCAGTTTGGCCATCGTGTCGAAAATGCCAAATCAGAAGAGAAATCATGCTACCCTGCAAGCCCTTAAGGTGTGAACTATGCGGTATGCCTTGCCGTCTTTGCCCTGACCTCCATCGTGGTCTACCCGCCGCTCGCCTAAGCCTTTACAACGGTGACGTTCCCTCGTCCTTGCTCCCATTTTGCGCCGAGGCACATGTTGGCTTTCCATGGTTAGTGCGGAAGAGCAACGTCTGGGGTACCACGGTCCCTATCGCATTGCGAGATGGGTCTTATCGGGGCCCCGGGTTGACACGAAGGATGCTGCATGTCCAAAGTCTCACTGAACAATCTGTATTCGTATTTTTTTGACGGGGTGACCAGCCACATTGTTCACTTGTTTCCTGCGGTCTTTAGGCATTGGGCGTGCGTGGATCGAAGCGTCAGAGGGCTAAGTCAGTCGGCTGTAGGTAGCCTCATTTTATACTTTGCAAGCAGCTCAATCCCAGTTACGGTACTTATGACGGTACCTATATCTAAAGCTCTAATTAATTATCGAAGGATTGCAAGTCCAGGGCTCCCAGGACCCTTGCTGGAGAGATCTACTTCAGATCGGGCAACATTGCTTCTCCGAGGAAGATCTGGTTCGGCTTGGACATGCACCCCCAACACTGAATCCTAACCAACCAACTCCCCCATCATAAACCGGGAATCCTAAACCATTCCCCCCAATCCTCGGCCCTGAACCTTCAAAAACAACAAAACCTCGAAACTCTTAGCCGTGACTGTCCGAGTTGTGATAGCACAAACTGCAGCTCTGAGGCAGCTGCTGGTGCTCGTTTGTGTCTTCTCGGGCCTCTGGTCGCTCGGAAGCCTTGATTTTGTCCGCGCTGTTTCTTACCAGCTTTCGGCATGAGGATACAAGATTCCAAGGCTTAGAAGACTGACAGAACGGTCTCCTGCCTTTAGGGCTTTGGGGTTTCAGAAAGGCTTTGATGGAAGTTCGCGGCTGGGAAGGGTAGATCATCCTCGCAGTTTTTGATTTTCTTCCAAGACACCGCTAGCTGTGTCTGAGAGGCTTCGGTGTGCAGGACATGATTTCTGTTTTAGCGAAGGGATCGCCGGTTTTCCCGGAACGCGAGTTATACGTTTCAATCCTTGGTGTTTCGGCCTTTTTACTCGTGACTTGGCGTTTGGACGTAGGACACCTTGTTCATGAGCAACATACCTTCAGGGAACTACTGGTGAGTATTCGCCTGATGCCAGCTTCCTTTAACAAGGGTTTGGGATTACTACAAAGATGTCGTGAAATTCCCAAGACCAACAAACCCCGGTGCCGCGGCTTGTTTCAAGTGGCGGCACAGGTCCAGCAGCACTGGCAAAAGTGGGCCCTCAACCGATTGACTTCGATCATAAATGCAATGTTCTACATCGTGTTCTTGGTATCTGCTGCCTTTGGCATCCTGTGACACACTCATCCAGCCACCCAGGCACCTTGCCTATGTTGACAGGTACGGCTTGCTCACGCGGCCGAACCATATGAGACTGCAGATTGCCAATGCGCTGCTGACGAAGCGCGCCTCGGGTATAGCAGTCCTTTGGGTTTTGGGACGTTCTGGGCATTGCAGCAAAACCCTGAATTAAAAGAGTTTTGAGTTGGATTTGGGAGGTCCAGAGGTTCCTAGCAATCAATCCAAGGCCCGGCGCACCTGCACCCCATACCCTATAAACCTGAGCCGCCCTGAAAGCACCGCACCAATTGTGGGCTGTTGCACGCGAACCTGACGGTCGGGCGAGGACAGCGCCGTCCAGTGCGCAACCCCGCTGCAGAGCACTTGTTTCCTGAGTAGTGCCCTTGTAAAATTTGATTTCGTGTTGTTGCACTTGCAGTCACCGAGGCAGTCAAAGCTTTAGACCCCGGCCCAAATCCAAAACTAAGTCTAAGCATTTTCGATACCTCCACAAAGGTGAACTCTTGCCCTTGCAACGTGTCAGCACGGCCAAGGCCACTTGATCTACGCCTTGGGATCGTTGAACGCTTTGGTGGTTCTGGCATCTCAGCGTGAAGTCAGATTTCAGAAAAGATTGAGACATGGCCTTCTGGAGTTGTCCTTCTGATATGTCAATGTAGTAGTTGAAACCATATGGCCGAGATTTCGCCAATCCGCTTGTTTCAGAGAATGGGACATGACTGGATTCGTTGTTGCGACCTCATGCCCTCTTTCTTTCGATGCATCGGCGCATCGATTCGGGGGCTGTTTTAACTTACATCCGACTTGGTAGGGCTCCATTTTTGGAAAGCAGCAGCATGAGTTCAAACAGGAGGTAGCTCCAATAAGGGGGCGACAGTTAAGCCACAGTTTAGGACGGCCACCCCTTTTCGAAACAGAAGGCAAACTTTTCGCACACCCCGCCGGTCTCAGCTGGAGAATGGACCCCCCCGAAGCAGCCAGCGTTCAGATCCCAAGTACGATGAGGCCTCAGACATGTTCTCCAGCAACCGTTCATGAGCTTGAGGTTCAGGTGAAAGGATGCGAGATGGAGGAGCTTTAGTTCTAGAGAGATACCCGGCCCCACCGCTCCTAGTGGCCGGACTATCGCATCTCCTGTTGCAGCGAGAGCTGGCTTCAGGGTTTGGAGGCTGGAAAGCTCGACCTCAAAATAATCCTGCCATAAAGCCGGCACCACTCCTCGCACTAGTCGAAACTCGAGCCGCAAAGCCAACCTTCATCATCCGAGGTCTTCTACCGCATGATGATCTTCGCCATCATCGGTGCATCGTTGATGTTTGCACCGCGTCAGTCGATGGTGGTGAAATTTAGCAGGCGATCTGGGAGTAAAGTCCGTTCTTTTGCTTGTAGCGAACCGATAGCCCCTTATTGTAAGTGTCCTTCCTCACTGTAGTATCCTTTGCGGTTCAGGAAACCTTCGTGGAAGTGCCATTCAGCGCATGCCATCAAAAGTTCCACCTGCAGTCTTTAGTGCCTCCCCATCAGTCTCATGTTTCTGTTGTTTTTTCGCCTTGGATCTCGGGAAGGAGTCATACGCGATATTTCCCTACAGGATCTAGCCCAAATCATCGGGAAAGCACATATGTAGTGCAGCAAACGCCACCATGCAAGAAATCAGCCACGATCATAGCTCACCAATCGCCAGCAATACATTTCCTAATCAAACTGCGGGGAGCTAGTGGATATATGGTATAATGATATATGATATATCCGTTCGATTGGCTCTCAAATTTATTACTTTCCTATCCTGGCTCTCGCTCCCTCTTTCTCTCTGACGCGGTACATACACGAATTAAAACATGCATATACACATGCATACATGCATACATACGTACATACATACATACATTCGTGCTATGTGCATATCCACCTGTAGGCATGCATATATACATATGCGGCTTAAACGCTTTGCAGCATAGATACGCATGCACACAGTCGATGTGTTTTACAAGTCACTCTGGTCACTTGTTTGTAGGTATGGAATGCAGTACTAGATTTGCGGTACAGATACATGCACACACGAAGGCCTGTTCAAGCAGGTTCAAGCATGGCTTGAGCAGCGGTATGTGCTAACACGGATTCTGCAGACTACGCTTCCAACTCGAGTTCGTAGACGCAAAAAAACCGGAAACCAAGCTGAGACTCTTCGCCAGCATCCGTGCCTGACAAGAGCGAGTGTGCGAGTCGTAGGCCCTAAACCCTAAGAATTCAGCTGAGGTCCTGCTCCATGCTGGCCTACATGCCGTGCCCGCGAATGCCAAGGGAAAGGTTGCGGAGGAGGAGGGTTCAGAGACTCGACTGCAGACCGGACGTCTCGGAGGTTTTAATGGCTCAGGTTTATAGAGTTGCGTGTAGGGGTTGGAGTTTACGAACTTATGAGAGTGTATGATTTTGCTTTGTTTCGCATTTGAGCTGGGGTTTCTGTTCTGCGCTTTGGCGGAGTTTCTGTTCTGCGCTTTGGCCAAGCTTGGTTTCCAAATACCTGGGCAAGACATGTCTTTGTCAAGCTGACTTGGTGTCGTGCAGGCTTGTTGGGAGGTTTCTTCAATCAAGGGAGGAGTACCATGCCAGCTGACGGCTTGTAATTTGTATATGCCCTTTACGTTCACCCTCAACCCAATGTGATCCCTGTGCATATACGTTGCCAAGACGCAGGAGCAGACCGCCCCGATCGTGTGAGAGGCTGTCGACCGACAGTCCCAAAGTGAGAGATGATCAGATCTTGATAGGGTCAAGGAAGATGTGCAGACATATTCAGCAGCTGGGCTGGACAAACCTGATGCCACACAGCGAGGCCATGAAGCCTACAACAGCATTGCAGATTTTGTGTGGATCACCCAAAGCTGACAACCTCATCGCCACGTCACCACTAATCTATAGAGCACGGACTTGTGCCTTCATAAATTACTGCTAACTTCACCGGCCAAGTTTGAATGATCAACGTTCCAAACTTTAGGCCTCTAGGCTTGCGCCACCGTACAGTAGATGGCTCGGCCGACCTCGCGCCGAAAAGTTCTCACAACCTCTGGGGAGTTGGGGTCCGAGTCCGCATGCTGCACTTTATTCAAGCTGCAGGGTGAGCTTGTGACGCTTATCACTTCCTGGTCGTAGTAGACTTTACAATATTTTCTCCAGTGGACTCCAGCGTGCTCCAGCTCCCGGAATATCAGAGGAGCGTGCGCCCACGACATGATATCGGTACAGAAAATGGCCTGCTTCACTGACTCTTCGAGCTTCAAGATTCCCTTCGAAGAGGTTTAGGGTTCTGGGTATAGGGTTTGTTTAGGGTTAGGGGTTATAGAGCTGTTGTTCGGGTTTAGGGCCAGATATAAATCAAGGTTATAAGTCATGAGGGGAGGCTCCAATGATAGTTCTGGCCTCGAACCTACTTGGTACATCTTGGTACAAGCTTCGGCAAACGCACCAAACACGACTCTTGCACCGGGTTGGCTTCTCCTTTAAACCGGACGCCACTTGCAATTGTTTGCATGGCTGATTTGTTTTTTTGTTGAGGTCGACGAGATCTTTGCGGCGCAGAGGGAGGGCACTTCATTTTCAGGCGACCCGTTGCGCGCTGGCGATGTAGGATTGCAGGTTGAGGTGTGTATCCCTGCTTGGGTTCGACACCCCCATGTACAAGCCTAGCAAAAAGCCATCTGTGAGCAGGCCCCATTGAGTGTCCGGAAGCTTGAGGCCGACGTTGCTGGCTCAGATTTCGGGGAGACGCATCCAGATTATTCCACAATTTGAAGTTCCTTTTCCGAGAGAGTACAAAAGTTAACTATAGCCGAAGTTTCATTGCTCCTTTGCATTCAGAGACTTCGTCTTTTCTATCTGTGCCCACATGAGTTCGCCAGCCGAGTCATGTCCCGTAATACAGTATACATACATATATATATATATATACATACACGTATGTATTATTATTATTGTTATTTTTCCTTGTTATTAGTTGTAATGATTATATTGAAGCAGTATAGTAGTAGTAGTAGTAGTAGTCGTAGCAGTAGTAGTCGTAGCAGTAGTAGTAGTAGTAGTAGTAGTAGCAGTAGCAGTAGCAGTAGCAGTAGCAGTAGCAGTAGCAGTGGTAGTAGTAGTGGTAGCACTAGCCCTAGCAGTAGCAGTAGCAGTAGCAGTAGCAGTAGCAGTAGCAGTAGTAGTAGTAGTAGTCGTCGTCGTCGTAGTAGTAGTAGTAGTGGTAGGAGTAGGAGGTAGTAGTCCAGTACACGTCGACGCCCCATCGTATAGGGCTTCGCGGTTGAATTGGCGAACCCTCGGCCTTCTATCTTAAACCCCATTGAAAGGGGACCCGAATTCAGAGAACTACCCATGTAGCAATGCTGGCATAGACGGCTCGCAGGATGTCCCTTCCCCCATTCCCCTCAGCCCAAAATTACAAGTTAGAACCGAGCCTTTTCTTAAATTCCCAACGTTATACAACCCAACCCAACCACATGCTGAAAGGTAAACCTCGAAATCCCTTGTCTGACCGGCGCTAGACTCGACTCGCATCCTAGGCCCTTTCTGACCGCTCCATCAATTGCCGTTGGCCCCCGGAAGCTTGGACATTCGCAAATAGACTTTAATCCGAAGCGAGGACACGGATGAGTTTCGGTTCCCACTTCTGATTGGCATGCACCTTGCACCGTCTCTGCATCGGACGCGAATCGGCCACAAGGCGCGCATGCAGATAATTTCCGATAACCACTTTTACTGAAGTTTATTGTAACGGCAACGATCGGTATCGACTGGTGATATCGAGCATAGGCATGCCTCGAACTTACTACCATGGTGTGTGAAGCTAGTGGGGTTTTGGACGATTTCGACCAGTGTGTTTCAGGTTCAGCCTCGGCGTAGGCCCAAGGAAGACGTTGAGGGGACAGCATTGCATTCAAAGCTTGAGTGCGATCTTCCTCCTTCCTTCGATTCGATTCCACGCCCGATCAGAACAGCAGAAGAAAAGGCGTTTTCGCTAAGCCCGAGTTCGGAAAGCTAGTAGTTGTTTCCAAACCCTACACACTGCCGTCAGGCTGCGAGGCTTCCAAGTGCCCGGTTCGATATGGTCGGTGAAATCTCCAACTACCCATTACTGGCTTCTCGTCGCATAGCTTGTAGGTCAATAACAAGATTGGAACTACAGGCAAACACTGCAGAGTAGAGCTTTCTGAGAAGTGTTGGCCTCGTTGTTTCCGGTATCTTTCTAAAACTATGTTCAAGACTATGTGTCTGTACGTCAGAGGAACTGTCTTTTGTTCCATGACGTCTGCGATCATTGCAAAGTGTGCATTCCCTCTTGCTCTGTTTTGGGAAAGTAAATAGGCGTGCTCTTTTGTTCTGCATATGCTGTCATGCAAAGTCCACGTTCTTGGGTGCGTTGCCCCTCGTGGCCTAAACACCATTCTAAGAACCCTTCAAGCGGTTTAAAACATAGTTAAACCCTATAAGCCTTATACCTCCTTTGTGTCTAACCCCCAAGCAGTATTTGTGTCGCTCTTCTGGGGGCTCAAGCTTGGTGATGTAGTTGCTTGCTCCGCCCGTGGCTATGGCAGCCATGAAGCGTGGGCGGCGCAGCAGAGCGACGTGCCAGGCCCGGAGACTCTCGAGAGTGGGGCTTACAGCAAGAAGGGTTCAGAGGGCCAACTTAAGTGAATTTAGTGCTATGAGGTTCGCTTCAAGGACGTGGGCTGAGCGTAGGATGCAAGAAATGATGGCATCTTCAGGGTGAAAGACTAGTAGAGTCTCAAGCGTGTTGTCGTCTTGAGGTTAGAACCTGACCGTAGCTCTCGAAAGTCTCCCATTACGAAAGTTGAAACACTGACCTGCACCCTACATGTTCCAAGCATCCCAAACCTTGTGCTGCGCTCGCCAAGCCCTCGGGACTCGCGACGCGGTTCCAGCCCTGGCTATATCAGGACAGGTGCGAGGTTAAGGAATAGAGGTCCACGGCTATCGGCTACGTTTGGAAGCTGGTTCCTATCCAATCAATGTCGACAAGACCCTATTGAGCCTCGTAGGCCAAGGGTGCCACTTGACTTCGTCGTATCCTTAGGGCAGATAGCATAAATTGGCTGGCTCATCAATCCGATTACGGGCGAGTGAGCGTTCGAAGCAGTTTGTCACAGGTCGATGCTTCGGAGCCGCTGAAGCAGGCATGGTTCTTTCCGATTACATAAGAGTGCGGTTCGGGGTCTAGGGCGCAAGTGATATAGGGTTCAGGCCACATCTAGGATAGCTTTAATGTAGTGAAGTTCTTGGAAGTCTTGAAACGGCAAGCCCCAAGCCTTGACCGCAGCCCTGCTCTCGAAAGTTTTGGCACCCTTACAACGGGATTTCTTTCCAAACGGCATTACAGGTGCTCCCCGAGAGAGTCCGGAAAATACCACGGATGTTCCTAGGATCCCAAAGACAGGCCCTTGTATCCTGCCCATTGCTGATGCACCAAGCGACCTGATGCATGAGGCATCGGTGTCTGAACCTGAGCAAGAGGAGGCCGTGTGGGGATACTTGCTCCCCGAACCCTCAGCCTAGGATCTTTCATCAGAATTTTTCTACACGGCGTTGTTTCAGATTCTACTTGGAGGCTTGTAATTGGGAGGTGGGGAAGTGTAGTGCAGTACCGCAATTATTATTATTAGTAGTATTATTATTAATATTATTATAAGAAGAAGAAGTGTCACCCCCCTACCCAATTAAGGTGCGTATAGTAACCCTCCTTAGGCTCGTGACCCTACTTATCATTGTTATTACCATTGGACTTCTGAGTAGATTTAATTGTAGAATCCTCCATTGACTATAGGGGTTGTTTTCGGGGGGCTGCTTCTGCGCGGATCTTCGGCCTTCAGATCAGTCTTTTTCAGCTCGTTGATCACCAAAGTATTTTACTGCGACGGTCCGTCACGGGGTGATAGTCGCTTACTGAGAGTTCCTGACTCTGTGATTGCATTCCTGCATATCAAAGGCCTGTTAATTGAGACCCCGGGCAACCAGCCCCCCTTCGGTGAGTGAGGGTTGTATAAAATGTGGGTCCGACATGTAAGATTAGGGCCCTTAAAGAGAGGGGTAAATAATATTTGTCAGAATAGCAGTACATAGTCAGAACCTGGATGATAGCAAGTAGAAAATGGCAGCAACACTGGTAATATGATTCTTTTATCTTAACGTTGAGTAAGGCCCTGAAGAGGAGAGATGTTGGCCCCTCGGGTCGAACCCCCCTCTCTCTCCTGCGCCCTCCCTGCATTCCGAACCCCTCTGGCCGCAGCTGACCTGAAAAGTGCTCTTACACAATCTAAGATCCATCGCGTGAATCTTGTAACCCTACACTGGTTGGATCTGTCAGTTTTTTGCACCTAGTCGCTTGAATCGAGCAAGTGAAGAACTTCACACTTCTGGGAATCGCTTCATCGTGTCTGCATTGACCAAGTCGTTTTTGCTTGTTCCTGGTTCTCGAAGCAGGGAGTAAAAGCCCCATGCAAAGACCCAACGGCCTTCAACCCTCCGATATCAGGGGCCTACCTAAGTCTCTAAGTGCCCATGCCATTTTGAGGTTCCTTCTCCTAATTATAGTATAATCTGCCCCTATTCTAGTTGATCAGGCCCCTAAATGGAACCCTTTTTAGAACCCTTTACAGGAACCCTTAAAGGAACCCTATTCTACTTCTTCAGGCCCCTATATTAGTCTGTCATGGCTCCTGGTCTGCCGCTGCCGCTGGTTCTGCGGAAAGTCCTTACATCAGGGAACCCTGAAGGGATATTGTTCTACTCATCAAGCCCCGATATCATCTTCAGGGATTGTGTAGGGTTGGTTACAGTAAACCCCAAAAAGTTGGAAACCGGATTAAGGACAAATAGTGCTGGGATTCCCTATACACTACTCTTAACGATTGAGGCTATTGGGTTTCCAACTTTTGGGCTTCTACTGTAAGGGGTTTGGGGTTCGGGGCTAGGTTTCATCGAAGTGAAGGTGCCTCAGCCGCAGCCGACGGGCCGAAGCTCGCTGATATTGCGAGGCCGTAAGCTGTTTTTCCTGTTTAGCGAGTTGTAGGGCTTTCGGTGCAGTGAGGCTTGGGATTGAACGTTTGGCAACGTAAGTTTTGGGATTGAAAGTAACGGTGTTTAAGAAGTTCAGGTTTCAGTAACGAGAAGTAAGGTTGGGCAAGTGGTTCAAGCGAGACTATGCCAGTCCGGTTCGCAAGATTGGTAGTCTGAGCGGGTTTCACTGTAGAGAGAATAGCAGGATTATGAAATCTTACCAACAGCACTTCAAGACAGTCGACCTGGCAAGTCTAATAATGCAAGCTAGATTAGTAATCATGAGGGTTTGCAAGGCTGTCAGGGCTTGCCAAGCCGAGCTCTACGTGAACGAGAGCACCAAATCCGCCATAAAGATCTGTGGTGCAGGCACCCGTCTGGGTTTGCTCCTTGGTACCCCCACCGCGGGTGCTTTGGGTCTGGCGACTGGTGCCGCTGCGACTGGGCACAATTGATCACCCCACACAAAAAAAAAACCTTCGGCTGTAGAGTTTAGGGTAGCGCCAAATTCAAGAGGTGCCTGGGCTGTATGTTTAGAAGTCTCATAATGGCGAAGAGACAGGACACCTTGCTGCTCAGGGCATGTTAACATCCCTGCCCGAAATGTCTCAAATCTCGTGGCTTGGGTCTCACCGGTGTAAAGCACGTGTGCAATTAAGGCCTTACAACTCCTCCTCGAAAACCATTATAAAAGCCGTATACTATACCGATGAAATCCATTTGTCAAAGCCGTGGTAGGCCCTTCTGAACACCGAGAATATATTATTTACAATGTTTCATGAAACCCCGGAAGCACTCCGCAACCCTCCCCAAACCCCAAAACCTACACTTGAGCAAGACCTCGAACCACATGCCTCCCCTGGAGTGTCCCAGTGTGAGGGCCGAAACCCGCCCTTACATACCCCAAACGCTCCAGAAAGCCCTACAAGTAACCCGAAGCCGCCCAAAAACCCCTGGCCCTAACCTCAAACCCTAAGCCCTA